AAATAAAATCTGGATCGAGGCATGCCACCAGGAAATAAAATCTGGATTGGAGACGCATAATTTGAATTGTTTCTCCAATCTGTTAAAGTAACACAGTTTCATCATTCACACATTACAGCTTCATTTTGATCAATTTGTGACATTAAAAACATAAAGAGCCATCGTGCAAAAACAGTAATTTTCATTTTGCATGAAATTGTAAGGCAAGGGAAGTCCTAAAAATGTCCTAATTCGTTTAAAGTCTGAAGTGAAAACTAATGTTTAGGTTGCTTGTCACTCCCTGCAAAGGTAAACGCAAAACAACAGCCAGTTTTAAAAGATTGTTGGAGCTAATGTAAGTTTATTTTTTGTCTTTCCTGCAGCACCACAGGAGAGGAGGTGATAAACAAAGTGGCTCTAGAAAACCGACAGGCTGGAGGAGAAAGAGATGAGATCAAGTTGGCTGATCTGGAGGACGCCATCGCACAGGCGGCTTACAACGACAACACAAGTAAGAGTCTTTTAGACTGGGGTTGGAAATATTTCAGTTCTTTTTAGAGGCCAGGCTTTCCTGTCGGTGGTGGCCAGAGATGCTCTGCTTAGTCAACTCAACATTTAATGCTTCTTCTAGAATTTATATTTTTGGAGTACAAGTGTATATTTATGCGGGTTTGTCATGTTGTTCGGCAGATTTATCCTAAATTTTGCTACTCGGTCTCAGAAACTGCTCACTGAATGAGACTAAAGTGAGTTTTTGTCTCCAGGTGGATTCTTTAAATCCAGCATCATCGAGCAGAAGCTCATCACCCATTTCGTTCCCTTCCTGCCTCTGACCCGGAGCCACGTCGAGCGCTGTGTGCGCTCGCAGCTCTGCCAGCGAGGCAGCTGCGGCCGCAGCGATGTGGTTGAGGCGGTCGGGCGTAACATGATCTACTCTCCAGTTCAGGGACAGTACTTCTCAACCACTGGCTGTAAGGCCGTCTCTGCCAAAATCAACATCTTCCTGTGAGCCAAAGCAGGACAGTTGCTGATTGTTTTGTTTTTGTAGGAACCGAAAGGGAATCTCTTGTTTTAATTGATGAGATTTCAGGTGACCATGAAGAAAGATGGCAGCAAATAATCCATGGAGCCGGGATTTAAAGCTGTGGCTCGCTGCTCAGGGGTCACCGCCGGGGAATGCCCTCTGAAGTGAGTCAGTGAAAGGAGAACACTTTGTTTCTAACGGAGTTTCAGAGCAGCTTTCCTGGACTTAAAGAGGACACGGTCAGTTAGACTCAGGGGGAAAATGAACTGATATCCCTCTGAATCCAGACGGATTCTCAGCGTGTAACAGAAGTCACGTCTACCTCAGCCCTGACTTCAGTTTTAATTTGGAAATGTTCTGTTGGTGCCGTCGTTTTGCTCCGTACAAACCAGACTTTTGCATTCGAACAACTCAGAAATGTCTGTGAGATTTCCCCCAGAGCAGATGGAGGTTTGACGTCTTCATCAACAGCTCACCAGGTGATGTCAGTGCACAGCAACTTTATTTTACTGAAAAAGAAAAAAAAATCAAATTTTACACAAACACATTTTGTTTATTTATTTAAAAAAGGAGTATTGCTGCAGTTGCCCGGTCCGCAGTTCCTTAGTCTTTTAATTCTGATGCTGTGGGTTCGAGCCCAGGTCGAGTCAGGAAGGGCGTAGAAACTCAAACGTTTCGTGTGAGTTTTTACTCGTTGTGGCGACCCTTGAAGAAGGGAGCAATAGAAAGAAAAACATTTCTTTTAAAAAGGAACCATTTTATTTATTCATCCATGAGTACAAGGATCAGATCGTGCAAATGTGCCAGATTTATCCACACAAGCTCGTTTTTATCTGTATTTCCTGGCAGGCTGATGACACAAGATTAAAAAAATACATTCCACTGATTAAAGGCACTTATTGGTAAAACTACATAGTTTTCCATAATGAAAATGCATAATTTTAAATATAAGAATTAAGAAATGGACATAAACTAAATTTATAAAATAAGACAATGTTAAAGTGTTTTAAACTGTTTTTTTTTTAAATATATATTTCAAACAGATTAATTGATAAAAGATTAATTCTAGTATGAAGGCTAAAAGAATATTAAGCCGGGTGACAAAACATTTTTATCCAAGTCTGAGCATGCAGTCAGTAAACGATGATGGTAATTGGTTTAAGATATTTGATTTTGATATCAAAGCCAATTTTTTTTTTTTTTTTTGTGCCAAACAAGTTTTAAATAAAATGACAAAACCGTGATCAGTTGTATCCAACAGTTCAGGATTCTGGTTTTGCAGAGGTTTTGTGTCATTATCATTTGTCCCATCAGGTGGCAGTAAAGATTTTGTTTTTGTCAAAATATAAATCTGAGTTCAGCTGCGGTCTGTTCTGTTTGAGCAGGTTCTGATATGATTTTATTCTTTTCTGAACTGATCAGTATCACGTGTTGATGTGGAAACACTCCAAATGCACTTTATCAAGTTTTCGTTTTTATTGACTGAATGCCCAAATTATGAAACATCTGAAGTTCAAACTGTTTATAGATGATTTATTCAATGTATTAAATGAACTTTGTTAAATGTGTGGAAACTGATTTTTTTTTAAATATTAAGTGCAGAACTTAATTAAAGGCCTAGCATTCCTTGAAGGAATGCATATCACCCGCCACCGTCTAAAGTTTAAAACCAAGATCATTTTTTTTATGCTGTAAATGAACTTTAATCAAACCTTGAAACACAATCTTGTGATTTAGCAAGCTTGCATGTGTTGTGAATGACTCGGCTACAACACAAACTTTAGCTCAGTTTATATCGCTCAAAGGATTAATGGTGATTTAGCTTTTTGTTTGTCTGCACCGTTAGAAAAAACAGATTTTATTGAAACTCAAAAGTTGGAGCGTCGACCTCTTCATCTGAATAACTTTTGTGGTCAATCCAAATGAAGATGACCGTCAACCAACTAACCTTAAAAAACATAAAAATATCACAAATCAGCCAATTTTACAGATATTGAGCTAAAATTTTGTGTTTTTGTAGCTGAGACTCATCACTAATTTAAACCTTGAGCGCCAACTCATCGCATGAGGTCAACGTTGCTCATGTCTAATCAACAGTCGGCCCCATCAGACAGTTCTCTCCTCCAGTATCTCCAGCAGAAACTTTCTTCCTAACTGGAAGCACAGCTCTGTCTCTACTTATTTATACACGTTTAATTCAAAATTGCCCTTTGTCCCTCCAGAAAATGGTACAGAGTCTTGGTTTAAACATTTGAAATGCTTGTTCCATTTTGAATAAAATCTGGGTCTAATTTATAAAACATTACATTCTGTTCTTATTTGCATTTTACACAAAGTCCCAACTTTATTTTGAAATTGAGGTTGTAAATGTTGCCCCCGGATGCTCGAAGTTTGACAAAATGTGAACCTATGAGTTTCTTCTAAACCTCTTGGTCCGAGACGTGCCACCAAACATCTCCGAGAGCCTTCTCAGGATATCAATCATTTATTTATTGAGCCCTTTACAACAGCCAAAAGGTGCTCAAAGTGTTTGGCAGTACAAAAGTTAAAACAGTAAGAATACAGAAAAAGGTGCTAAAAGCCTGCGAATAAAATGTTTTCAGATTAGATTTTAAAAGGTCAGTGAACACAAGTCATGAGGACGTTGGTTCAACAGTCTGGGTGCAGGAACTGAAAAGGCCCGGTCACCTCAACAGCAGTATTTGGACTTTTTTTTTAGGAAATACAGTATTAGTTGATTTTAATGTCCCATAACTCTGCTTAATAAGGTGGAGCAAGACAAATATGAGCTTTAAAAATAAACGAGGTAAAATTCTATTCTAAAACGAACTGGAAGCCAAAGAAAAATTAAATCAGGGTGACCTGCTCACGTCAGGGAGTGTTAAAATTCGGGCCGTAGCGTTGTAGGCAAGTTGAAGGACTGATTTAAACTTACAGAGCCGATAAAAACAAATGGACTTTTCCAGGTCAAGACAATTTGACAAAACCTAACCTTGTAAAAAATAATCATTAAAAGCTGGCCTTGACTATAGAGCTTATTTGTTTCTCAAACTTCAAATCCTCATTAAATGTCTCCAAGTTTTTAACCGTGGATCTAAACTTGGATGTCAGAGCATCAAAGTGACGGGGAGCATCATCATCAAAGAAGCTTCGCTCCGTCGTTCCTTAATTTAAAAACAATTCAGATTTTCAATTCAGTTTATTTATACAGCCCCAAGCCACAACAGAAGTCGTCTCAGGGCACTGAACAGAAACATTCATATATAAAAATAATAATTTAACATTATTTATCTGAGGAGCAGACTGCTTTGAGTTTAACTCTCATCTTGAGCAAGCATGGAGGCGACAGTGGAAAGGAAAAACTCCTTCATGAAGAAACCTTTAGCAGAACCAGGCTCAGGACAAGCAGCCATCTGCTTCAACCGGCTGGGTTTGGTAGGAACAGATACACAATGGCAGGTCAAGAATCTGGAAGTTGGTTCCACAAGAGAGGAGCCTGATGACTGGAAGATCTTCCTCCCATTCTGCTTTTGGAAACTCTAGGAACTGTGAGTAAGCCTGCAGTCTGAGAGCGAAGTGCTCTGTTAGGAAAATATGGAACAATAAGATCTCAAATATAAGATGGAGCTAGGTTGTTGAGAGCTTTGTAGGTTAGTAAAATTTTGAATTCAATTCTGGAGGAAAAAACAGAACATTTCGATTAATCAAACAAAGGTTGTAAGCTCAATCATCCGGGTAGATCACAACAAAAAAGGTTAAATTGTGTCATCTGGACCAGTTTCTTTAAGTGATTAAGTGGTTAAGCCACGGTTTATTGTTTCCAATCCAATCAAGAAAATAAGGTTGAAGGTTATTGTTTCTGGCCTTCATGGTCAAATAAATCTGTAAGTCGTCCACATAACGGTGACCAGGGTGATGTTTTGTAACTTCCTGAACAGACTCGCCTGCAAACCCGTTCCAGGATCAGTTGTTCACATTATGGAACATCCTCTTTCCCTTAAAAAATAAAAAACGTGGCGTCGCCTCCCGCCACATTTGACCAGGAACCTCCTGTGATGACTTCATTAGCTCTCAGCCTCCGCCCTTCACCCCACCCAACACCGCCACAGAGATGATGTGAGGAAGAGGAGGGGTTCAAAGGTCAACTCAGAGGCCTCTACGCCCCCAGCTGCTGCTGCTGCATGTCGCCATCTTAGTCCTCATGAGACACATTTGGTGGGAACACACACACACACAACTAAATACCAGGATGACCGCTCCAAACACACCTCCTCTGACCGCTGACTCGTGTTTTCACACACCCTCTGCAAATGGAGCAGATTATTATTATTATTAATGTGTGTGTGTGTTGGGGGGGTGACAGCAATATTCCTTTTACTTTCCTTTTCCCTGTCTTTGCTTCCTTCCTTTCTGCTTTCATTGCTCGTTTCCTCTTCCTCCCATCGGCTCTTCAGTCACAGATCCAGTGCCAAAAAAAGCCCTAATTTACCTCTGCACTCCTTTCCATCAGAGGAGCGGGAGGGGGGTCAACAATGGGACGCTGCTCCTTCCTCCCCCCTTCCACATCTGTGAGTGCCCCCTCTGTCTCGTCATTCTTCTCCCTAACCGCTCCATTATTGGGGCTCTTTCACTTGTAAATGTGGCCAGCGATACTTCTGATGGGCCCTTTGTGCCTGCAGCCTGGGTCAGGAGTAAGGTAGGGGTCTGGT